CCACCGCCATCACTGTCACCAACAAGATCATGGTCATCACCATTGTTCTTCTTCGCCACCACCGTCATATGTTTCATCTTCGTTATCATATGAACATCTGATACTTTATCTTCGGCTGCACCTTCATCATGATGTTCATGGTCGCAATCATCATTAAAAGCTGTCTCTTGCAACTGGCAATCGCCAAGCCAAGCTGGAACATCATAGGCTCTCCGGCCGACCCAACTGCTGTCACGCCCAACCTTGGAAGCCCAGAAACCGGCCTGGACGATGCATCTGGTTTATGCTTCACGGTCTAATAGCCTGGGTAAGGGTTGGAGTGCATTTTTTGGCTTCGGTGAAATAGGCTATCCCTTTTAATTTCTCAAATGAAAGCTGATGCAATCCGGGTCCGCATACCTGGGAGTTTCGGACTGCAGCGGCGCTTTAATGTAGAGCCTGAATAGGTGGATGCTCGGCATACCTGGCAAGAACTGATATAGCATCCTGATATGAAAGTTCCTCAGCAAAGGAGTTTGTCAATGAGGGGTCTACATTAAGGCTTCGTGCGAATTTCCACAGCACAGTAGCTGCCCTCGATGTTTTCTCGAGAGATCTACACACCAAAGAAGGATCCTAGAAACCTGGACACCTATATACGCCTGTAAGTACTTCGCAGCAAGCCTGCTGTGTGTTATCGAGGATTCTCTAGGTACTGCGAGCGAGCCCATCGGCCCATAGTGCAAGATACTTGATTTGTTACTTGTTTTTGAATCTTGCTCAGGGTCCGGCTACAGTTCCTATAGACTATTATGAAAATAAGGAGCCCCCAAAGTAGTGTTATTTAGGCCCCTATTTTATATTGCTCTAGTGGGCTTTACGAGATAATCCGGTTTAAAGAGGTCTTGGGCGCTTTGGACTATAGAGTCAGAAAAGCTACCAGGCTCCTTCTCTCGCTGATGATGAGCCTGCACACGTTCTGTTCTCGATGTCCAGAGGCATCGTAGGGGGGGGTCTGATGGGGCTGGTTAACGTTAACTTCCCCAGTAGTACCCTTGCTCTTTTTTGGTTGTTGGGTTCTCTTATCAAAACCAAAAAGTAGGAAAAAAAGGTCGCTTTATTACTAGGGGGCTAGTGGGGCACCTAATATGTCTCTGGACGGTTTTGCAGGGGTTCCATAGGGACGGAGATAGGCTTTCCAGAGAGTGCATAGGTTTTAGAGGAGTTGCATGGCGCTTGACCGGGTTTTGGAGCGGTTGTATACTCGTTCGATTATCCAATGGTCTTAGACAGCAGGATGTATGTGAAGGCAAGAGCTACATGGGAGTTTCCGAAAATTGGGGTACCTTATTTTGGGGTCCTTATAATAAGGATCCTATTATTTGGGGTACTGTATTAGGGTCCCCTATTTTCGGAAACCCCCACATGGATCCTGAATATGATCCAAGGTATATTCCGTAACTAAATGGGAATCGGGATCTCCGTGCAAGCGACACTGGCCACTAAGCAGCGCCCAGATTCAGCTGACAAAGACGCGGGTCGGGTTTAGGGCCGTTTAGGGTCATGCACGAAAATGTGTTGCCGCGCTATCCCCGTGTGCGGCTTCAAGTGGTGGGCGGCTTAAAGGCACTGCGTGTATGTTCAATATGCGCAGCCAGTTGTCGCATGGCGGCTAACTATACTCTACGAGTTTCGGATCGCAATGCAGTTGATACAGTTTGACAGAAAGCCAGATTTGCATGGGGTTCTTCAGGGCATACAGAAACCATATTTAGCAGCTTTTGGGGATTTGTCTTCACCGATAGGGGTGTATTTCGTGAGTCTTTTTGTGCGGATTGGTTTAAAGTCGGGTGATTCAGCAGAATGGGTGCGCCCTGCAGAAACCGACCTACTGTAGGGCTCTGAGAAAGCCGTCAAAATATCCCCTTATAGTTCACAGTTCCCCTATACTTATCCAAAAATATATTCTTCATCCAAAAATAGTCTGATTTTTCAGAAGCCCTGTAACGGGGCTCTCGAGCCTTTAACTCTCGCCATATCCCTGAATCCTAACCCCTAAACCCTAACTCTAGCCATATCAGTCCCGAACCCACAAGACCAAACCCTGACCGAACCCTAAACACATCCCCCAAGCCCAGACCCATATAAGGGTTTAGGGGTTTAGGGGGTTAGGGTTTAGGGGGTTAGGATTTAGGGTTCAGGGGTTTACGGTTTAGCGTTTAGGGTTAACTTTCAGCATGAAGGCTGTACCATGAAATCATTACACAACCTAAACCCTGAACCCTAAGCCCTAACCTTTGCACAAACCTGGTCCAACCAACCAAGCCCATGGAGCAGAGGCCCTAAACCCTAAACCGCAAGCCTCAACCCCTAAACCCATAATCGGTTTAGGGCTTTGGGCTTAAGATTTAGGGCTTATAGGGTTTAGGGCTTTGGGTTTAGGGTTTAGGGCTTGGGGTGCAGGGGTTAGGATTTAGGGTATAATTAGGGGTTTAGGTTTTATGATAAGCCCTAAACCAATCTACAGGGTCCCCAACAGTATATACGATACTATAACTTGGACCGTTTGGGCAAAACCCACGCTCTCAACGCCTAAACCTCCAAACCACAAACCATAAACTATTACCCTACGGCTCTAAGGACTCATAGGTTAAGGCTTGTGGGCCCAAAGACCATACTACGTAAAACTCTTTCGGGCTATTTTGATCCTTAGGCTTAGGGATCCCATATAGGGTTTCTCCAAGGGATCCTTCCAGGATTCCATTCTGTAGCCCAAAGGATCGTAAGTACCTATATAGTAGAATGTAGGATTTGCTATTATGATGTAGGGAAGTACCCCCCCATAACCCCAAAGGGTCCCAGTATTAATATGGTAGCTACTTTGTAGGTATTTGGGCCCCAAAAGTATATACTATACTATAACTTGGACCCTTTGGGTTAGGACCCTTGGGGTAGGGTTAAACTGGGATTGCAGTTGCGCAGGACGTGGTCTCCTCTTTGAGACAGGGCGAGGTGCCGGGACTTGAGAGTTTAGGGGTCTGACGGTCTAGGGTTGGAAATGTTGACGGTTTAGGGTTTTGGGTGGGGATCGATGGTTAAGAACTTCGACCTAAACCCTAAACCCCAAACCCTAAACCCTCAGAGTTTAAGGGCTTAGGAGAATTTTTTCACGGGTCTAGGGGAGGTTGGTTGAAGCCGGGAGCAATGCACCACCAGTCTGCATGGAGTCGCTGTTGATGAAGCCCTGAACCCAAGACCTGGATTAGGACTTACTTTGTATTTTATGTATGGTGTAATCTGTATAAAACTGTATATTACTCCTTGTATGTCATATACTATCTCAGTTTTTGTATAATGCAAATATGATAAAAAAAAGCTGTTTGAAACATTGTATATGACTCGTTATATATTATACACTATCTTGGCTTTTGTATACAGTAATGCAAATATGATAAAAACTGTATAAATTAGTGTATATTACTCGTTATATGTTATATAATATCTTGTTTTTTGTATACAATGATGCAAATATGATCAAAATTTAAAATCTGTATAAAATATTGTATAATTCTCGTTATACATTCTATGCTATCTTTTTTGTACACAATAACGCAAATATGATTAGAAAGCTGCATAAAATATTGTATATGACTCTTTAGATATCATATGCTATCTCTTTTTTGTATATAACATATTGCAAAAAAGAGATTATATACATCAGGGCTTACAGTGGGTTCGGAGTCTCCATGTTTGGTGTTGCAGGGCCGCGTTTTTTTCGGGTGGAGGGCCACGAAGCTACCATGAGGGTAGTTCTGTAAATTAGGCTCCCTCTTTAGGGTGTGGGTTTAGGGGATTAGGGCCTCGAAGCTACCATGAGGGTAGTTCTCTAAAGTAGGGTCCCTCTTCAGGGTTTGGGTTTAGGGGTTTAGGGTTTCGGGTTTAGGGTTTAGGGTTTCTCTTTAGGGTTCCTGACAGGGATGTATAAGGGTTTCTGTATGGTTTCTGTCAGGGTACTCTGATGGCCCTTGTAACCAAAATGGTACGGCACCTTTATGAACAAGAATCCCCAAAAGGATCCCAACTTAAAGACAACGCTGTCTAATTGTCCGAAGCAGTTGGTACAGGGCCTCAGTAGTGATAAACCCTAAACCCTAAACCCTAAACTTAGTGACCAGTATACCAGTAGTAAGTAGTACACATGCTCAAAAGCCCTCAGCCCAGCTGTTCAGTCCAATATTAGCTACCCTAAACCCAAAACCCTAAGCCCTAAAACATCTTAAGCCCTAATCCCTACACCCTAAACTAAACCCTAAACAACCTCAAGCTCTTGATCCCTACACCCCGCCCTAAACAACCTTAAGCCCCAATCCCGACACCCTACCGCCCGAAACAACAACCTGAAGCCTTAATCCCTACACCCTACCGCCCTAAACAACCTCAAGCCCTAAACTTAAACCCCGAAAACCCGAAACAACTTCAAGCCCAATAAACCTTAAACCTAAACCCTAAGCAACAAGGTGCCTTAAAGGAGCCCTAAACCCTATTGAACCCTAAGGTTCCTTGAAGGAGCCCTAAACCCTAAACCCTAAGCAGCCTTACACAGCCTTAAACCCTGAGCCTGCAGTTTGCCTCATCCCGACTTGTTGCAGCCATTGCGTGGCAGGGCTGGGTTTTCGAAGATCGGGAGCCCTCGACCTTACCCTCAGTATGCTCATAACGGTTTAGGGCTTTAGGGTTTTAGGGTTTAGGGTTTAGGGCCATAGAGTAAAAAACACTGGCTCCAAAGTAGCTAGCTACATAGGGATGACCTTGAGGCCAAAGTATATACTATTTGGGTACATGGACCCTTCGGGTTATGGACGAAACGAAGCCTAAAAGGGCTGAAGGTTCAGATGCTAGATACCTTCTAGGGCTTTAGGGAATCGTAGTATAAGGCACAAGGGCGGTATCGTAATCATAGTATAGGGTATAGGCGGTCTCGGGCCCCTACGTTGAAGAGGTGATTTGGTCTTTAAGGGATCATGAGTGCGGAGTCCTGCAAGGGCCATGTCCCAAAGCCGGAGTTTCCCGTCCCTACGTGGCACGACGACGTTTTCACATCACTTCTCGAACGACTACGAACAGAGCACGAGTTTCAAGTGAGTACCTTAGTTCCCCACTACCCAACCTTTAAACTGTTTTCTGTTATTATATATAATTTAGTAGTAATCTGAAAGTTTAACTTTTTCCCTTGGCGTATCGGGGAAGTAAGGTACTTTGAGCATCAAGGTTGCGGAGCTCGAAACTAAACTGGGCAATGCAACGCTACAGCAAGACGAAGGCTCTGCACCTCGAGACGCGGCCGTAAGTGCCCCTTCTCCTGTGTGGAAAGAGCATGGCACCACGAAGACTTCGCCTCCGAATGAAGTTTCTCTTACAGCAAGTGAGGCTTCACAATTCTTCCATCTTGGCATTCACAAGCAGAGCGGCTGGGGGGCTGCCTTTGGTAGATATCGAAGCTTTGTGCAGCGCCCGGGATTTGAGATGTTCTTTGCGAGCGTGATCGTCGTGAACACCATGGTGATGGCAGTGGATGTACAGGTTGTTGGCATCGACATCGGTGCGCACCTTCAGCTACTAGGTTGTTCAGTGGTTTCCTATTTTAGTATAACTGTCCCGCAAAGCTCCCTACCTTTTCCAAGTTTCTCAAAAGCCCAGGTTTGCGTCATATCAGCCAACAGCTGTAACTACACCTTGGGTGCGGCCTATGATCCATGCCTGCGATTGGTTTTGTGGTGTCGCCTTCACCATCGAGATACTGATGAAGTGCGCAGCAATGGGTCTAGGCTTCTTCAAGGACCCCTGGAACTGGATTGACACCACCATTCTCTGCTGTTGGTACATAGATGTCGCGGACAGCGGTCTTATCCCCATAAACGCGTCGCTGCTGCGCTTGCTGCGGCTCTTGCGTCTATTGCGCTTGCTTAGGCTCGTTCGAGTTATAAAGGTTTTCGACTCATTGTACCTCATCACAACGGCCTTGAAGGGCAGTGTTCTGATATTGACCTGGGCCTGCGTGTTGCTGCTCGTCTTACAGGTGCTAGCTGCTTTGCTCTTGAACCAAGTTCTCTTTGCCATGTACTTCTCCAACGACAGATATCCCATCAATGAGCGGCTGCAGGTCTTCGCATATTTCGGGACCTTTACTCGGTCCATGCTTTCAATGTTCGAGATAACACTGGCTGACTTCCCAGAAGTTTGCAGGCTGTTGACTGAAAATGTGTCGGAATGGTTTCTTGGCGTTCTTCTGGTTGGCTCTTAGGACCTTAACTTTTTGGGTTTCTATATAACCATAAAAAGGAGACCAGATGTTTAACTTTTTGTAGGGTTCAGAGGGCAGCCAAGGTTTATGCTTGTCTGCGTTGCTCACAAACTGATCATCGGCTTTGCAGTGGTCAGCGTCATCAACGGCGTCTTCATCGAAGAGACCTTCAAGGTGGCTGCATCGGACAATTTCGTCATGATGCGGGCGAAGGAAAAGACAGCTAGAACTCATGAGTTGAAGATGATGCAGCTGTTTCTTGGCCCACGTGTGTTCCCAAAGGGTCCAAGTTCTAGTACAGTATCTCGGGCCAAAATACCTACAAAGTCGCTACCGCAGATTTTTACTTGGACCTTTTCGGGTTGTCTCAGGGGCTGAGTAGGTAACCTTTAACCTTTTGGGGCTTTTATGATCCTACTATAACTCAAAAGGTTAACCTTTTTGGGCTGGGGTACTCAGCCCCTAAGTTGTTAGGGACACAGCTGAGGTTTCTACAGGCTGACATCGATCAAGACGGTCTCGTCAGCAGGGAGGAGTGGCGCAAGCTCCTGAGCCATCCAGCCGTCCAGTTGTGGATCGGCTCGATGGATTTAGATGCAGAGGATGCTTGGCGGTCCTTCAGAAATATTCTTGTATCAGAATTTCAAGGGGTTATTGAACCAGTTTGTTGGGTCTAATCGATAGATAGACTACGTAGACCGTTCTTGAGCATCGGTTCTTCAACGTCGATGTTAGTTCTCATGCAGCAGCGCATGTTTCGAGTTCCTGAGAGCTTCTAAGACCAGCTCAGGATACGGATGGTCTGTATGACCTCATCCGTGACGACATCCATGACGGCAGACTACAAGGCCTGACGATGGACGAGCTCGTCAGGGGCATGGGTCGACTGAAAGGAACAGCCCGGAGCTATGACATGCAGCTGCTCCTTCGACAGGTGGGCTCTTTGATGAATCACGTGGAGAGGCTCAATCGCGGAGTCACTGCGGGCAAGCACGCCGAGCCCCTTCCCGTTGTCCACGCAGAAGACGTCGGGAAGGAAGGCCAGGCTAGGCAGTTGATGCAAGGAGTCGCCTGGCGGTAGCACAGAAAGCTTGTGTACTCCGGCCCGAGCCATTTCAGGACATGACATATCTGACTTTAAGTTATGCCAAGCGTCCTGCTGATCCTATCCTACCCCGAAAACGACATGACGAGCAATTTCGCATCGTCCTTCCTTCCTGATGATATTGCAAAGGTTTGCAATGAAAGTTCCCCACTGTTCAGGACCGTAAGTGCCCATACCTTCCAATATCCCTGAGTCAAGGAAGATACCTTAAATCATATTAGGGATCCTACTATCCCCGAAACCCTAAACCCCTATAAACCCTAAACAATGAACCCGAAACCCGAAGCCCTAAACCCTAAACCCTAAACCCTCAACCCTAAACCCTACACCCTAAACCCTAAACCCCTAAACCCTAAACCCTAAACCCTAAACCCTCAACCCAACGCAGCTTCAGCAGAGCCAGGCAGCCAGGGTCCTGGAGCTCGCTCTCAGGCCTTTGCAGGGTTCGGGTTTAGAGTTTCGGAGTTTAGGGGGTTTGGGTTTGGAGTTTCGGGTTGGTTTAAAGTTGAAGGGTTTAGGAGTTAGGGTTTAGGGGTTTAGGGCTTGTGGGCGAATTACTGTAAGGATCTCACATGTCGCAAGGACCACATAATTAGGTATCTGGGTTTCGGATAGTAACTATGTAGGTTCCGATGTGGAAGAGTGCATGCTTATTGGGTACTTGGACAATTAGGGGATAAGCCCCAAGGGTCATATTCTGGTTTGGGTAAGTAGCCCCGGAACGGTACCTAGGACTCTTTGGGAAGGTCTATTGTTTCCAGTTTACATGGAGTCTAAGGGTTTTTGGAGTTAGGGAATACGGCTGCTGATATAAATCCTGCGTTGCCCATAAACAGGAATCTACCACAATTCTCAGAGTTTAGGGTCCTTAAGGTCATGCAGGATTTATGTCATCCACAGTAGTTCTGGTTTTTGGTTAAGGGCTGGGAAATGGTGTTGCTATACAGGGTTACTTGCACGGCTACTATATGGGCGGGCATGCCCTCTCCATGCGATGCATCCGGCGCTGGCGCGGTGGAGTTCGTACTAGCACAGAAAAAATAAACGAAGACTGACATGAGCAGCAAGATATATGATCAGTCAGTATGCTGATCAAGAACTTTAGTGAAACAAGCAAACTAACTATGGACCTGTAAGCTTCAAATTGAGATTAAGCTCGAGTTTCAGCCTGTCTTGTCTTCTTTCATCCCCTAGCCGGCTGCGCCCACAAGGGGGGGGGGCATCGAATTTAATGCAGGGTTTATAGGAAGATTGGGCAAGGTTGAAATTCGGTTTTCGTACTCTCATCTCTTTGCGGATAATGCTTTAACTCCACGTACGCGAACAGCTCCGCTCCACCCTCAACCCTACGCCCAAAAAACCCCAAGCTCCTTTATAACGCCCGAAACCCTAAACCCTCCAAACCCTAAGCCCTACTCATAGTCTCCGTGTTGTTGCTGTTGGGGGCTACCTTTTAGGATCTTTAATTTCGAATAGGTTAATCCAAAAAAAGGAACTACACTGGAGACTACAGGTAAAACCCTAAACCCTAAACTTTACGTTGCCGACAGCAGCCTTCCTGCGAGGACGCTCGTCGACCGGCGTGCCAGGAAAGAAGCTCTTTGCCCCCTCGAGGTCGCTCTGCAGGGGTGTAGCTTAAGAACCCAAAACCCACTTTTTTGTAGGTTCTTATTATAAACCCTAATATGGGATTTATGGGGACCCTACAGAAAGGTAGGTTTTGGGTTCTTAAGGTAGCTACTTGAAAGGTTTAGGGCTTATGGGGCGGCTAGGGTGCAGGGTTTAGGGTTCAGTAATCAGTGGCGATTAGGGCTCCATTAAGGGTTCGACAGGGCCACTTTAAAGGTGTAGGGCTTCCAGAGTCGGGGGTTAGGGTTTGGTGGGGATGGGGTCTCCTTCAAGGGCTCCAAAGAGCTACAATACGCACGTATGAAGGGGTCTGGGGTTTAGAGCTTCGGGGGATGAGGGTTCCTTAAAGTTTAAGGGGCTTTAGAGGGTTCGTTAGAAGTTTAACGGATTCTGACAGGGTTCCCTAAACTTAGGGGTTTCTAGAGGGTTACTAGACAGGTTTACGGGGAAACGGTTGCGAAGGAGAAGCGGTTTACGGTGTAAAAAGCGGCGGCATGTGGTTTCTATAGGCCCTAAGCCCTAAACTTGCCCTAAACCCTAAACCCTACATCCTATCATAGGTGTGGTGCCCAAAACATGGTTCGAGGAGGTTTGGGGCTTGAGGGTCTACGGCTTTTAGGTTTTAGGGTTTAGGGCTTGTTTGCAGTTCGAAGCCATTGCATATCAGGCAGCCGGCTTTACGGTGATCGCAATGTATGATCTTGCCTGGTTTGCAATGTTAAAGCCTAGCCTCCCAAGACCCCAAACAGTGCTTGTAGGGATTATAGGGCTCAAGTTAATGTAGGACCCTTAATAATTAGAATAAGGTTCTGGGGGTTCCGGATTATAATTGTAGTATAAGAATACCCAATATCCTGCTCTAGCTATTCAGGCCCCTATATTATAGGGTTTCATTATGCTTTTGATCTTGTCATGATCATCGCACCTTATAGCTGCCGCAGCTCATGTCTTATGTAGCTCCAATCGTACCATATTGTCCCCACGACTACGTCTACTGGTGCTCTATGTATACTTGTAGCCGTTATGTTGTAAGGAGCGGCTGGCAAGATGATTCTTCTTCAGGTAGCAGTAGAACTTCGAGCATCCTTCCCCGTGGCCCCCCTGAAGAAACACGGATCTCCCAATGAGTTTCTATTAGAATTTATTGCAAGTCACCAAACTCAAAGCACAAAGCCCGTCTGCTGGTGCAGGAGCCAGTTCTTGACGTCACCAGTTGCATGGATCCCAGAACGTTACATCCAAAGCCCTCGCCATAAGTGCGGATTGTTTCAAGGGCCCACCCGAAACCCTAAACCCCACACCCTTAGACCGGAACCCTTATCCCGAAAGCGCATCCCAAAACCCTATACACTCTAGAGCTATAGGCCCTAAAACTGCGAACCCTAAGCTGCCACGCCCTAAACACCCAAACCCTATGATGACCGAAGCCCGGCATGAGCATGTTCAACTCTAACTGTAGTCTCCAGTGTAGTTCCATTTTTTGGTTTAACCTATTCTATATTAAGGATCTTAAAAGGTAGCCCCCAAAAGGAACTGCAATGGAGACTATAGGTAGACCAGCCGTCCTGCAGTCTATGGGTTCAGTCTTGCTTTCGTCAAGCTTTAGGGCTCTATCGGTTTCCTTGCCCCTAAACCCTAAACCAGCCATTGCACTTAAAGAAAAAAACTAAACCCTAAACCCTAAACCCTAGGGATTCGGTTTTGGCACCATACCCCTGACGGTCTAGGCCACCAAGATGCGGGCTGAGGTCTATGTTCCCATACTTTGTAGTGAATAAGGTTTTGGGTTTAGGGGTTCGGGGTTTAGAGTTTATGGTCGGGCTTAGAAGTTTAGGGTTTAGGGTTTAGGATGTAGGGTTTAGGGTTTGGGGTTAGGTGTTTGGTTTTTCCTTGGCGTTCTTCTGGTTGGCTCTTAGGACTTTAACCTTTCTGTTTCTATATGAACTATAGTAAGTAGGCTAAAAGTTTAACTTTCAGGAGGGGTTCAGAAGTCAGCCAAGAATATTGTGAAGACATGGAGCACCTATCCGCAACGCTTGAAACTGCCCTAGACCTTAAACCCAACACCCTAAACCCTAAACCCTTAACCCTAAGCCCTAAACCCTAAACCCTAAACCTTAAGCCCTAAACCCCTAAACCCTAAACCCTAAACCCCAGGTGGTCGTACTCTGCATCCTGACCTGAGACTCCCCGCGCATGAGATCCAACTCTGCCAGGTAGAAACGGGAAGACTTGTGCTATAGGGTTTAGGGTTCAGGGTTTGGGCTCTAGAGGAATGTGCCTTAAGATTTAGGGGTTCCCGTCATGTGATTGCATGTCTAGGCCTTCAGATTGTGTTGGGCCATAAATACTATAAACCTGGAAGGTAACCTGACTGCTACTCTTACGGAGGCCTCGAAGCCATGTTTGTCCTGCCATACGAAACGCCCTAAATGCAGGGGCCTGAATAATGAGTAGTATCGTCGGTAAGGCGACTATGCTACAATATGCCTCAACATTCCTTTCTAAAAATTCATGTCGGCCAGTATATTGCTGGTACCAGAAGGGTTCCCACAGGCATTCTTTAGGGTTCCGTTGCAGGTCATCAGGGTTCCACAATTAATTTTTGCAATAACATGCCTCAGAGGTAAATTGTCGGAAGTACCAGCAGTATCCCACTTTCGTGGCTGTACTGCTCTGCAAGACCCCACAAGAGAGCCAGAATTCAGACAGGGGATACTTTGGGGTTTGTGGTTCAGGGTTTAGGGTTTCAATGCTTAGCTGTTAAACCCTCAACCCTAAACCCTAAACCCTGAAGTTAACAAAAGCTCCCAGAAATTCTTCATTCCTCAACACACCACTGAACTCGAATTGAGGTTTGGGCCTCGGCGCAGATACTGAGATGGCGAAGGTCTGAGATCCGGGGGTTCGTGCGGGGGGGCTTTAAAGGGTGGGGGGGGTAATGCTGAAGCGGCCCTCCACGGCCTGTCGTGTGCTTTTATATTGCCCCGCATCCATCCGTGTGTGGGTATATATATATATATATATGGGTGGTTGTCAAAATTATGGTCCCTTTTGGGGTCCTTATTATATATATTACGGCACCTATTATTTCGGATACCCCACAAGGGACCATAATTTTGACAGCTACCCATATATATATATATATGTATCCGTCTATATCTATGTCAGTGTATGTGTATATATACATGCATACGAGAGAGAGCGAGAGAGAGAGAGAGAGAGAGAGACAGAGAGAAAGAGAGTAGAGCCGACCATGCACACCTGATCAGACATACATGAACCACCGCATATGTGCTAGCCAAAGATGGACTGCCCAAAGGGTCCAAGTTAAGGTATAGTATACACTTTTGGCGTCCACAAACCTACAAAGTATCTACCATATGAATACTTGGACCCTTTGGGCTAGTGCTCTTCATGATAATGATCCACGTGGCTTGGCATGGAACAGACTTGCTTGCATCTGCATACATGCCTACGCTGACACTCAGTTCATCTGATTTTGTCACGAGGTATGGCATATCATAGTACATAATAGTGCATTATAGTATATTTTAGTATATTAGTGTATATGCCAGTATATCATAGTAGATTAGAGTATGTGACTACCCATGAGAGGCCAGTAGAGGACCACCAGAGCCCTTGCAACACAGCAGAGTATCCTATACCTATATCCTTATATCCAAAGAAGCAGAAGCCCTAAACCCTAAACCCCAAATCCTAAATCCTAAACCCTGAACCCTAAGTACAACCCTAAACCTAAACCTAAACCCTAAACCCTGAAACCTCAGTAAACCCCAAACCCTAAACCCTGAACCCTAAGGAAACCCCTAAACCGAAAGCCCCAGCGCGAGGTTCCCCTCGGCATCGCCCTGGGCGCCGCTGCCAGCGGCGCCTTCAAAGCGGCTGCGATGGAACTCCAAGGCTGCTCTTTTTAGGGTTTAGGGGTTGAGGGTTAGTATAGGGTTTGGGGTTTAGGGTTTAGGGTTTAGGGCTTAGGTTTAGGGTTTAGGGTTAGTATAGGATTTTAAGGTTTAGGGTTTAGGGTTTGAGGTTTAGGGTTTGGGGTTTACTTGGGGTTCTTCTGGTTGGCTCGTAGGGCTTTAACCTTTTGGGTTTCTATACAACTCTAATAAGGAGACTAAAAGTTTAACTTTTTGGAGGGGTTCAGAAGTCAGCCAAGGCTTCCTAGAGAGCCTAATACCCCTTAATTAAGGCTTAGGGTTTAGGGTTTAGGGTTTAGGGTTTGAGGTTTAGGGTTTAGGGTTTAGGGTTTAGGGTTTAGGGTAATTCAGGGTTTAGGGTGTAGGGTTTAGGGTAATATTCAGGCTGCTTTCTACCCAAAGACTCCAATATCCCTGGGAATATACCTTAAAGGTATAGTAGGATCCCTAATATGATTTAAGGTATATTCCTTAATAAAGGGGGTTTGGAAACTCCGGGTAGAGAGCCCAATACCCCCTTAAGTAAGGTTTAGGGTTTATAAGGGTTTAGGGTAATATTAAGGCCGCTACAACTTAAGGTACATATTCCTTATTTAAGAAGTATTGGGTTCTCTGGGTTGGGGTTTTGGGGTTTTGGGTTTTGGGGGGTGCTCTTGAGGGTTTAAGGCTTAGGGGCCTTAATAGTTAGAATAGGGTTTTGGGTCCCATTATACTCTAATTATATTTTAGGGGCTTGAGAGTTTATTGCTTAGGGGTTTGGGGTTTTGCGGGGTTTCGGTTTGGGTCTTGGGGTTTTGGGTTTACGGTTGAGAGTTTAGGGTTTAGGGTGTAGTGTAATTAGGGTTTTGTCATCTTACAAGCCTGTACTGAAGGGCTCAGGGGACTTAACTACTAAGATGGGCCTTGTAAGTCCCCTTCATGGGGCTATCGGTTTAGTTTAGGGTTTAGGGTTTAGGGTTTAGGGTTTAGGGTTTAGGGTTTAGGGGGTTTGGGGTTTTAGGTTTTCCTAGTTGCACTCGTACTTGTAACCGTACGTTCTCGGTCCCTTGAACCCTTTTGACTAGGGGTCAGCAATTGAGGAATGTACCTTCAGACTTAGCAGGGGTTTGGGGTTTAGAATTAAGGGTCAAAGTACACTATCATCGTAAATTAAGGGCAACTGCCATGAGCTAAGCCATGTACGTTTAAACACGCGATAACAGCCCTGTCGGGTATGAATTGCAAGGTAGTTGTGTAAATTTTATTGGTCTCTCCGTGAGCATGTCAGAATTCGAACCGACCCCTAAACCCTTAAACCAAACCCTAAACCCAAAACCGTTAAACCCTAAACCCTAAACCCTTAAACCCAAACCTCCTAAACCCAAAAAAGCCCGAAACCCGAAACCGTCTAAACCCTAAACGCCCTTTTCAGCCCTTAGCTCGACAACCTCTTCTCGCACAATGTACCAAAATCTGGAAATCTGGGTAGAGCCCAGAACTGGGAACAACAAACCATCGAGTGAAAACCCCGCATACATACACCCGTGCGAAACGTTTTTGTTGTACAGTGTATTATCCTGATGAAGGCTCAAAATACCCCCAAAAATCCTTAGAAAGTCCCAAAGGGTCCAAGTTATGGTAGAGTATATATTTTGGGGGCCCAAATACCTACAAAGTAGCTACCATATTACCCTAAACCCTAGACCCCTAAACCCTAAACTTCAACCCCAAACCATAAAACCCTAAACCCTAAACCCTACCGTATTAATACTTGGACCCTTTGGGAGTATGGTCTTTGGGTCCAAGCCTTGAACTATGAATCCTTGAGCCTGAGCCTTAGGGTACCTTAACCTACCAAAACCTACTTTGTTGTAGGGTCCCTGTAAATTCCTTACTAGGGTTTAGAATAAGAACCTGCAACAAAAGTAGGGGTCTGGTAGGTTAAGGTATGTGTTAGACTCTGGAAAAAAAGGTTTAGGGTTTAGGGTTTAGGGCACCCTGCAAGTCCTTTCTAGAGGCTTTATTGGCCGCAGGTACGCAGGAGGATGCCGCCACGTTCTGGCGCATGAGCGAGGCCCGGCAAAAGGAACTGTTACCGACAGGCTTTCCCCTAAGGGCCCTAGGGCTGCAAGTCTACAAACAGTACCTACTTTCGGGCTCAAAGTCGATCCCTAAACCCTAAATCAAACCCAAAACCTAATAAGCAGTACCTACTTTCGGGCCTACAGTCGATCCCTAAGCCCTAAATCCAAAACCCAATGAGCAGTACCTACTTTGGGCTATTTGGGAGGTCCAGGGTTCAGGAAACCTTACCTGAACACCAATGGATATATGATATACCTCAACGCACCAGAACCTACTTTTTGTAGGGTCCCTATAGATCCCATATGGGTGGTTGTCAAAATTATGGTCCCTTTTTGGGTCCTTATTATAATACGGCACCTATTATTTAGCGTACCCCAAAAGGGACCATAATTTTGACAACTACCCATATAGGGTTTGTCATAAGAACCTACAAAGAAGTGGGTGGGCTTTGGTAGGTTATGGTATCGGTTTAAGGACTCAAACCCGGAGTTCATAAGAATGAACACTCGGTTTAGGGGTTTAGGGTTTAGGGTTTAGGGTTTAGGGTTTTAGGGTTTAGGGGTTTAGGGTTTTAGGGTTTAGGGTTTAGGGCTAATCCCTGATACTAAACCTCCTAAACCCGAAGGCCCCCCCCCCCCTAAGAAGGTAGACGTTTTCGAGTCTAACCCCCAAAAGGATCTAAAAAAATAGATCCCTTAAGGGGGTTCATATAAAGTACCCTTTAGTAGTTAGGGTCCCTAAACCCTAAACCCTAAACCCTAAACCCTAAACCCTAAACCCTAAACCCCAAACCCTAATTAGTTTTTTAGGAAACTGGACCCGAACCCTGATCTCCCCTAAGCTTTTAGGGCTCAGGCTTTAGAGGTCGAGTTTGGCAGAGTCTGGCTTAGGGTTAGGGGTTTAGGGTTTAGGGTTTAGGGTTTAGGGTTTAGGGTTTAGTGTTTAGTCTGCAGTTCTCTGTTTGTGGCTGGGCCCGCTTTTATAGAAGCCAGAGAGTTGGAACATTTTTCTCCTCCTGCCCATAAAGTCAGGTATAAGGGATCCTGGCACTAATCATCCTAAACCCATGCTCCAAGTTTCTGGGACGCTCCCTACCCACAAGTGCCGCTAACAGAATGTTCGCAAGAATCTCACAGGTGTCGCTCACAGAATTCTCATGGACCTGTCCCCGACTCACAAGTACCGCTCCTAGAATGGCACACACTCAGGGAGGGAGTAGGTAACCTTTAACCTTTTGGGGTTTATATGATCCTACTATTATTCAAAAGGTTAACCTTTTTTGGGCTGGGGTACTCAGCCCCTAAGAGTACCGCTCCTAGAATGGCACACAAAAACTCGCACAGGAATCTCAAGCAAATACATTCCCCACATCCCACAGCTTGCAAGGCAATGGAGCTCCTAACCCGAAGCCCTGTAAACTCTAGTTTAGGGTTTAGGGTTTAGGGCTTAGGGTTTTGGGTTTTGGGTTTAGGGTTTAGGGTTTAGGGTAAAGCCTAAAATCAAAAGAAAACCTTGTAAGCCCCAAAAGACTCTACACCCTGAACGGTAAGGCCCTACACCCTAAAGCTCAAACCCTAAACGCATAAGCCCTAAAACCCTATGCATAGGGCTAGAGGGGTTTAGGGTTTACAGCCTAAACCATAAACCCTATACCCTAATACGTCTAGGGTTTGTTTGGGATTTATGGGTATCCGCATTCAGGAGCTAAGTAGCCCAAAAGCCTTACATAGTATGGTCTTTGAGCCCAAAACCTTGAAAAAAGGAGCCCTAACCCTAATAACCCAAAGCCCCTGGGCCCTAAAACCCTAGACACCGTACCCCTAAACCCTATAGACCCTAAAC